ACGACCCTGAGATATCACCTTACACCCATCAGAATGGCCAAGATGAAAAACTCAAGGGACAACACATGCTGGAGAGGTTGTTGAGAAAGGGGAACGAACCCTCCTTCACTGCTGGTGGGAATGTAAACTGGTACAACCACTCTGGAAATCTATCTAGCGCTTTCTAAGACAATTAGGAATAGTGCTTCATCAAGACCCAGCTATACCACTGCTAGGTATATACCCAAAGTTTGCTCAAGTACACAAAAGGGATATTTGCTCAACCATGTTTATAGCAGCTTTATTTGTAATAGCCAGAACCTGGAAACAACCCAGATGTCCATCAACGAAGGAATGGGTACAGAAATTGTGGTATTTTTACACATGGAATACTACTCAGCAATCAAAAATGAGGAAATCATGAAATTTGCAGGCAAATGGTGGGATCTAGAAAAGATCATCCTGAGTGAAATATCCCATAAGGAGAAAGACAAACACGGTATATACTCACTTATATAGACCTATAAGATATGATAAACATAATGAAATCTGTACACCTAAAAAAGATAATCAAGAGAGCAGACATGGGGTAAGATGATCAATCCTCATTTTGAAAGACAGATGGGATGTGCATTGAACATATGACAGGAGTCTACTGAGCGCATTTGAAAGACTCTAACTAGCAGTGTTTTCAAAGCAAAGACTCATGACCAAACCTTTGGCAGAGTACAGGGAATCATAAGAAAGAAGGGGAGTTAGTTTGATGGGGAAAGGATAGGAGCTCCACAAGGACCAAATATATCTGGGCACAGGGTCTTTTCTGAGACTAACATTCAACCAAGGACCATGTATGAATGTAACCTAAAACCCCTGCTCAGATGTAGCCTGTGGTAGTTCAGTAACCAATTGGTTTCCCATAGTGAGGGGAACAAGGACTATTTCTAACAGGAACTCAATGACTGGCTCTTTGGCCTCCCCACCCCCCAAGGGAGGAGCAGTCCTGTTAGGCCACAGAGGAGAGCTTTGCAGCCAGTCCTGAAGATACCTAATAAAACAGGATCAGATGAATGGGGAGTAGGTCCCCCCTATCAGTGGACTTGAAAAGGGGCACCTTGGAGATGAGGGAGGGAGGGTCTGGGAGGGAATGAGGCATCGGGATAAGGCTGGGATACAGAGTTAATAAAATGTAACTGATAAGAAAAAATAAAATTCAAACAAACAAACAAACAAAAAAAACAAATAGGAAAGGAAGAAGTCAAAATCTCACCATTTGCAGATGATATGATAGTATACATGAGCGACCCCAAAAATTCAACCACAGAACTACTACAGCTGATAAACACCGTTAGCAAAGTGGCTGGATACAAAATTAACCAAAAAAAAAAAAATCAGAAGCCCTCCTGCATATGACAGAAAAGATGGCCAAGAAAGAAATGAGGAAAATAACACCCTTCACAATAGCCACTAAAAACATAAAGTGTGACTCTAACTAAGAAAGTGAAAGACCTGTTTGGAAAAAACTTCATATCTCTGAAGAAAGAAATTAAAAATATCAGAAGATGGAAAGATCTCCCATGCTCATGGATTGGTAGGATTAACAGTGAAAATGGCCATCCTGCCAAAAGCAATCTACAGATTCAATGCAATTCCCATCAATATACCAACAAAATTCTTTATAGACCTTGAAAGAACAATTCTCAAGAACATATGGAAAAACAAACAAACAAACAAAAAAACAGAATTGCCAAAACGATCCTCTACAACAACAGATCATCTGGAGGTATATCCAATTCCTGATCTCAAGCCGTATTTCAGAGCAATAATAATAAAAACTGCATGGTATTGGCATAGAGACAGAATGGTGGATCAATGGAAATGAATAGAAGACCCAGAAATAAATCCACACACCTACGGATACTTCATTTATAACAAAGAAGCCAAAACCATACAATGTAAAAAGACAGCAGCTTCAACAAATGGTGCTAGCCTAACTGGATGTCTACATGCAGAAAAATGAAAACAAATCCATATTGATCACCCTACACAAAGCTAAAGTCCAAGTGGATCAAACACCTCAACATAAAACCAGACACACTAAATCTGTTAGAAGAAAAGTTAGGCAAGAGCCTAGAACTCATTGGTACAGGAAACAACTTCCTGAATAGAATACCAACAGCACAGGCTCTAAGAGCAACAATCAATAAATAGGACCTCATGAATCTGAAAAGCTTCTGTAAAGCAAAGGACATTGTCATCAGAACAAAATGACTGCCTACAGAGTGGGAAAGGATCTTCACCAACCCTTTATCTGACAGAGGTCTAATATCCAGAATATATAAAGACTCAAGAAGTTAAACAGCAACAAATCAAGTAATCCAATTAAAAAAATGGGGTACAGAGCTAAACAGAGTTCTCTGTAGAGGAATATCGAATGGCAGAGAAACACTTAAAGAAATGCTCAACTAACTTAGTCATCAGGGAAATGCAAATCAAAATGACCCTGAGATTTCACCATACTCTCATCAGAATGTTTAAGATCAAAAACTCAAGTGACAATACATGCTGGAGAGGATGTGGAGAGAGGGGAACCCTCCTCCATTGCTGGTGGGAATGTAGACTTGTACCACCAGTTTGGAAATCAATCTGGTGCTTTCTCAGACAATTAGGAATAGTGCTTTCTCAAGATCCAGCTATACCACTCCTAGGCATATACCCAAAATATGCTCAAGTACACAACAAGGACATTTGTCCAACCATGTTCGTAGCAGCTTTATTTGTAATAGCCAGAAGCTGGAAACAACCCAGATGTTCCTCAACAGAGGAATGGATACAGAAATTGTGGTACATCTACACAGTGGAATATTACTCAGCAATAAAAAACAAGGAAATCATGAAATTTGCAGACAAATGGTGGGATCTAGAAAAGATCGTCCCGAGTGAGGCCCCAGAAGCAGAGAGACACACATGGTATGTCCTCACTTGTAGGTGGATACTGGACACATAGTATAGGATAAATATACTAAAATCTGTTCACCTAAAGAAGCTAAGCAAGAACGACTCTGGGTAAGATGCTCAATCCTCACTCAGAAAGACAAACAGGATGGATATTGGAAGAAGAAAACAGGAAACAGGACAGGAGCCTACCACCGAGGGCCTCTGGAAAACTCTACCCAGCAGTGTATCAAAGCAGATGCTGAGACTCATAACCAAACTTTGGACAGAATGCAGGGAATTATATGAAAGAAGGGGGAGATAGAAATAACTGGAGAGGACAGGAGCTCCACAAGGAGAGCAAAAGAACCAAAATATCTGGGCACAGGGGTCTTTACTGAGACCTTTACTCCAACCAAGGACCATTCATGGAGATAAGCTATAATCCCTGCTCAGATGTAGCCCAAGGCAGCTCAGTGTCCAAGAGGGTTCCCTACTAATGGGAACAGGAACTGTCTCGGACCAGTGGCTGGCTCTTTGACCACCGCCCCCCTCCCCCGAGGGGGGGAGCAGCCTTGCCAAGCCACAGAGGAGGACAATACAGCCAGTTCTGATGGGATCTGATAAGCAAGGGTCAGATAGAAAGGGAGGAGGACTTCCCTTATCAGTGGACTTGGGGAGGGTCATGAGAGGAGATGGGGGAGGGAGGTTTGGATTCAGAGGGAATGATGGAGGAGGTTACAGATGGGATACAAAGTGAATAAACTGTAATTAATATAAAAAACTTTAATTACATAAACAAATAAATGAGTACAATAAACTATCACTAAAGACAGACACACAGCAAGGGATTACACTTCATTTCAGGGGAAAATGATTTCTACCATGTTAAAGGAATCAAGTCCATTTGTTGGTGTGCATTATCATATTCCCTTAAATCAGGAACTCTTCAAAATCTGTAAATTTAAAAATGTTCAGGTATAATTCTGACTGTCCATTCAGGATCAATCATATTCTATTACATACAATGCTTTCATTGCGCAAAAAGAGCCTCGGTTAACTGTTTTCTAAGGTCTTCAGTCAAATGAACTAACACTAGCCATTTAGTGATCAAGCTTTCAGAAAAGTGTAGAGATGAAGCTCTTAGCTGCCCTTCCCTGCCATGGTAGGGCTACTACTAGATCCAGTTCCTTCCTGTACTAGAACTAGCAGGTGTCAAACTGAGAGTTCATCCCATACCAAATAACAGAAAATGCAGTAAGAGTTCCTCATGTCCAACAGCCTTTATCATCCTGTAGTGCAATCTTTACAACTGTATGTGTGTAAGCAGAAGGGCCTAGGCAACGAGAGCAGGTTGAGACAGGTAAATAAGTAAAGGGGCAGCCGGGATAGCACGTGGTACTAAGAACCTTACCTGAAGTCTGCCCAGCGTACTAAAACAAGCAGAGCAGACGTCAGCACATCTTTAAACCTGGCAATTTATCTGTGTGGGTGGGAATGGGGGAACAAGCGTGGATGAAAAAAAAATTCATTCCTTTCCTTTGGAGCACAAAGAAAAGCAACAGGACTTTTAAAGCTCAGATTAGAAAATGAACAGTAACTCTGAGAAGCCTTCTCAATTAGCAAAACAAGTTAAAGATAAATGTTGAAAAATATCTCAGCCTAAATATTTATTCATCTATATATACATCCCACTGTATGAATAGGCTTTTGATTAAAAGAAAAAAAAACACCAAACTACCCCCCCCAAACATTTCATAAGAGGTACCACCATCTAGAAGTGACAAAAATAGTTTTCCCCCGACATTACTCTCTAAAGCATAAAAAGCTCTATGACATACAAATTAACCGGTGTTCTTACAAAGTAAAGCGGTTGACATTACACTGTATTTGTGGTGAAGTATGAGGCACAAGGATATATTCATAATTAGGGATTTTCCATCTAAGCAGTCTCTGGTGATCACTTAATTCTTGGCAATGTGTAACTGGTGTGTGTTTGGGTTCGTCACGCATGGCCGAGATGGAGAAGCAGCGTTACTAGCAACAAGGTTTGTATTTGACAAGCGACTGCGCGGCTGAGCACACGCCTTTTATGGACTTTGTGACCTGTGTTGCAGAGGGTCACTTCCCGCCGAGCCTTGACTCGACGCTTCAATATTCATGCTGCCTGCAGTCTCTGACATTTCCTCTTCGTCCTCGTCGTCGTCCTCGTCGCGCAGTTCTTTTGCAAGTAACTGCTTGGCTAATCTAATGTTCACGGCCTCGTTGTAGTGAAGCTTCCTCTTTATTTCGAACAGCCGCTTCCTTTCTCGCTCTTCCGGGGAGAGGCCGTCGTCTTCCTCCCCGCTGCTTCCTTGCTCCCGAGCCCCAGACTTGGTCTCCGAGCCCCCCGCGGCGGCAGCAGCAGCAGCCGCCGCTAATTTCTTAGCCAGGACCTCTGGGGCCAAGGCCTCGCTGCCTTCCGAATCGCTGTAGGCCTCCTCGTCGTCACCCATCATGGCGTGGTAGGGCGTGCTTGGCTCATCCACTCTCATCAAACCGTAGTCTTTGCCAGCTGGGTGGTAGGTTGCCAGGATGTTCATTTCGTCCCACTTCTGGGACTTCTTCCTCAGCTCCTCGTCGACGCTCCGGCGGGGCTGGTCGGCCGCGGCCGCCACGGGGGAGGCTGCAGAGTTCCTCTTCTTCAGGATGCCCTTGATGGGCCGGTGCAAGGGCGTGGAGGCCGCGGGGGCTGCCGAGGCCGTGGGGCGCTCGGGCTGGCGGCTCATGCTCCCTGCTGGCGTGGGGTCCGGAGGTCGGGCGGGCGCTGCGCATACCCTCCGGGCGGCCCGGAGCCCAGGCCGGGCTGAAGCAGCCTCAGGGCCGGCCGTTGCGGGACCCACTCCGGAGTCACGCTAACGACACAATGACCGCAGCGCCACAGAGGCCGCGCGGAGGAGGCCCGCGGAGGAGGCCCGCGGAGGAGACCCGCGGAGGAGACCCGCGGAGGAGACCCGCGGAGGAGGCCGCGGAGGAGGCCCGCAGAGGAGGCCCGCGGAGGAGGCCGTTGTTCAGTGACCCCAACAGCTCGCTGGATTTGTCTGGCCTTCAGAAGAAGCGTGGGCCCTTAGTGGCAGTTGCTCAGGGTAGAAAGAAAAAGAAGCCCCGAGCGAGGTTTTAGGTAAGATTCAAGCCCGAGCATCGGGGGGACAAGCCATGGACCGACCACCATTCCACAGGTGTTTCCTGCCCCAGCCTAACTTATGGAAGCAGCTTCTCTAGGATTCGCGGAAGATTTCACCCGCAGTGAAGCTGACAGGGACCGTTAGTTCGCGGTCTACAGCACCTTGGGCTCAGTTGTCCTGCGGCTATGTTAGCTGAGTCCTCGCTGAATTCTCTAGTAATTTTAAACAGGCCTTAAGCAGCGCCTACTCGGGCCATCAGAGGCCATGCCAACGCAGACTTTTCCCTTAATCCGTTACTTCAAAAGTGAGTGAGGGTAGTGGACAGATGCACAAGGATCATCTAACACAGCAGGCGATTTCTGATTTGTCCACCTTGCCACAGCTGGTATCCGTGACTCTAACCTAATCCAAGTTTACAGGCATTTCATTCTTTTAGTTTGCTGGTCCATTATAAAATCTGTTGTTGAATAAAAATATTTATTATTGGTTTGTCTTTTAGTTAAAGAGAGGTTATTCCTAAACCAACTGTACAGCAAATGAGGCTAGGATTTGTTTAATTATTGGCCATGTATGGTTGAAGTTCTGCCTGGAGACATTTTTATGTCTCAGTCAGTTTCAGAGTTGTTCCCATGTGAAGGTGTCAGCACTTTATTTTACCTGTTCTGTCTAGTCTTCTTGATTTCTCTATTCTTTTGTGTGGCCAAGATATTCAGGTGGTCTTTCTCTGTCATACCTGATCTTTATTAGTTTTGATGGAACCCAGAATTTCTCTTCTCCTGTATGACTACTCACAAAACCTCTCCCCCAGCATAACGCATGCCCTGTTCTCCCTTTCCGTGTTGTTCTAATTCAGCATTCTTTTCTAAAGTCCACTGTGTCTTAGCAGGTGTGCTGCTTATCTCCTTTAAACATTTTAAAATTGATAACTCATTAATCTATTTTGGGGAGATACTATATTTCCTTTCTGTTTTATGACCATCTTTTAAAAATTACTGTTAGATACTTTCATGATTGTTTGACCTGTGGGATTATGAGTTATATCTGTAACAGGTTTTATGTCATAATGTCTAAAGTATTGTTGAGTTCCAATGGATATACATGCTGAAGCACCAGCAGCCCCAGTTTGCAAGGGCATCTCCAAAACATTCACTGTCTCTAACAAATGCGTAACCTTAGGATCATGCTCTTCAGAATTTAAGGCAAAAGCCCACTGGAATTCTGAATATGAATCTACGACATGGTGCATGTACAGAGTTCTCCAAACTCTGTAAACTGGAGCACACCAGCCACCGTATGGCCTTGTTCCAAGACAACACCAAACAGGATCTGCATTTCTAATTTAGCATATAAGACCTTCATACACACACAATCTCCAGTCTGACCAAGCTGGCCTATAGCTGAAGACTTTCTCTCCAGCATCTCAGTGGGATGACATTTTGCAATATCTTCAAGCCTCTGTGGACTTTTCCCATCTGGAACCACCTCTTTTGGTGTTAGTGTAAGTACCAGACTGGATTTCTCTGAATGCTCTCTATTTTGATTCAAAATTTCCCCAAACTCTGTTCTATGGCCTTTAATTTAGCATCTGTTTTCTCAGTCACTTCCTTCTCCAAGTCTCTTTTACCCTGATCTTTCCCAGAGAGGATTTACAAAACTGAAATCATGAGTGAAAACGTTTGTATGCAAAGAGAAACAAACTCAAAGTACTCAGAAGCATTGTTTTTGTGCCTTCTTCCATTTTCAACACAATCTTAATCTCAAAACCTCTCCCTTAAGGACTTTGCTTTCTTAGACTCAGCTTCCCTTCTAGACTTTACCGGTTCAGATGCTTGAGGCTTCTCAGTCTGTCTCTGGCCCTTGCTTCCAGGAAGAGATATTTTTTTCTGCCCCCCCCCCCCACTGGATCCTGACCCCTTCCTCACGCTCGGAAGTTATTGGATCCATAAATGTTTGCTCCTCAGACCTGCAAGAACTCCTTCTCAAAGGGATTTTCCCTTTCTGCCTTGGCTAGCAAAGTCTGGCTTTGAGAAGCTTCTTTGCTAAAGAACACCTTTTTTTCCTCTACCTGAAGAAACTGCATCTCTGGGATTTGTATGTATCAATTTTTGTTTTCTGCAGCCTGCTGGGGGCTTTGCTGCTCTGCGGGGGTGGGGGTGGGGTCTGTCTAATCAGGAATCTGTGAGCTCCTAGTTTAGGAACTGCCTTTGTTTTTATTTTATTTTATTTTATTTTATTTTATTTTATTTATTTTATTTATTAATTACGGTTTATTCACTTTTTATCCCAGCTGCAGCACTGACAGTGGAGGACCTCCTCCCTTTCCATCTGACCCTATCAGGTCTCATCAGGACTTTCTTTCATACTCTTCCTCTGTGGCCTGATAAGGCTGCTCTCCCCTCAGGAGGAGAGGTGCTCAAAGAACCAGCCACTGAGTTCATGTCAGAGACAGCCCCTGTTCCCCTTACTAGGATGGCTACTTGGAGACTGAGCTGCCATGGGCTACATCTGTACATCTAGTTTATCTCCATGCATGGTCCTTGGTTGGAGTATCAGTCTCAGGAAAGACCCCTGTGACCAGATTTTTTAGTTCTGTTGCTCTTCTTGTGGAACTCCAGTTTTTAAGGAACAGAACTAAAAACTGCTCTATAGTTTTACTTTCTATGTAAGTTCTTGCTAGATTATTATAAATTCTGCCATACCTCGGTATGCCATTTATTGTTAATTATCAATATTTATCATTGGCTTATCTTTTAGTTAAACAGTAGTTATTCCTAAACCAGCTGTATACTTTAATTATCACATAGAGGGTATGATTTATTTAATTAACGTAGAGCACAATGGGCAATAGTTACTCCATCCTAAACCTCCAAGCCCACATAGTTTCCTCCCATTGAGATTTCCCACATTATACTTGCTCTTAGGTCCAGTTCATCTCTCCTCATGGTTCCAAGTCCTCCCCTGCCGATCTCTGCTCTCCTACTCACCCACTCGCTTCTTTCTCCTCCCCTCTTGGACCAGGATGTCCCACCATATTCTCTTCATTGCACCGTATTGGCTGGTTGTTCTACTGAAAATAGAGAGAACAAATGGCGGCATGTTTACACAAACTTGAGACAGGTGATGTTTAGAATAAACATCATAATGCAATGTCTGGTAGTGAGATCAGCATTTGCGTGAACAAGGGTAAATTGTTTACATTCCACATGAACATTATACCAACAAAAGTCACAGTAGGATCTTTATGTGAAAGTTTAATAGGACTATTTGACCTCTGGTGAAATACTTATACCCACGTAACCTGGATCTCTGTACATATAAGGGCTTGCAATATTGATCAGACAGGCACATATTCCCCACACGGTAGCGGGGGGTGAGTCTCCGTGATGACAGCATGGGTTCCATTACAATGTATAATTTGATTTACGTTGTCGAAATTTCTCACATAAAATGATACTGCAAGTACAATAGGTAAAGGAGGTCTGTTCTAGGTTAGAGACAAAAACACTAGAAGCTTCCATCTATTATGCTTTTTTTTTTTTCTGCAGCTTAGAGCCTGTGGTCGGATTTGATGCTGTGTGGAACACTATGTGAGTTTCAGTCATAGTTCCGTGTCAGATAACTGAAAAATTTGGAATGAGTAACTGACAATCGCATAAGATATGTAAAAGCCAGAATCTGTTTAGTTGCAAACATGCATGATCTTATTTCATCTCAGAATATAGAAATAGCGAAAAAAACTAATCCCAGAAAATATCTTTATTGACAGAGAAGCTGAGTTAAATATCCAGACAAGAAAAGTTTGCTATGATAAAATCAGGATAGAAGATCTGGGTCTCTGATACATGAGTGAAAAATCCTCTGTATGCCAGGCCACAGAGAAAGACAGTCCAGCCAGTCCTGATGAGACCTGATAGGCTAGGTCAGATGGAAGGGGAGGAGGACCCATCAGTGGACTAGGGGAGATTCATAGGGAAAGAAGAGGGAAGGAGGGTAAGATTGGGAGAAGACAAGGGAGGGAGCCACACTCGGGATACAAATTGAATAAATTATAATAAATTAAAATAGTAAACGATTTAAAAAGCCAAGAATAACCCCACCACTTTTCTTAAAACATAAGAACAGAAAAAGAAAAAAGAAAAAGAAAGAAAGAAAGAAAGAAAGGAAGGAAGAAAGAAAGAAAGAAGAAAGAAAATTCTCTGTGTAAAGATTTTCTCTCTGCTGGTAATCAATTACCATTTATTTCCTTCCTAAGTTTTGGAAAATGATACAGATTACTCAGTTTAATCCAATAAATCCATGTCCTTCCCAGACTGCCTCCTTAATGATTTCCTGTTACAGTCACTACAATTAGAAATAACTACCGGTTAATACAGAGACAGCTAGTAAAGTTACTGGAATATGTATCCATAGCATTCTTCGCCAAGAACACGACATTTTCCTCACATTTTCTCCCTCTGTAGGTTCAGAGAACCATGAGGAAGAGGAGGGCAGAAGGACTGTAAGAGACAGAGGTCTGGGAGAATTGGGATAAAGCTGTCTTCTGGACCTTTATACTCATATGCTAATGGTAGCGAAGTTGCCTCTACCCGACCTGTGCAGTAAGC